GAGGGCCTGCTCGGCCTTGTTCCGGAGTAACGGGTCGGAAATTTTAGGCAGGAGGCCAGTTATATACTCAACGATAGCACGAGAGTCATCCCGCTGAACGTCATCGGGGGGCTGTGCCCCCGCCGTGTCCGGCTCCTCATCCTGGGAGACCCGGGGCGCAGGATCGGCGTCACCGACAAGAGTAGTAACCTGCGGGAGGCGTTTCCTCTTGGAGCGTATGGCAGTGATTGTGCGGCCGGGAAGGAGAGGGGCTAAGTCGGCGTCAGTTGTTCCAGGTGGCGCGGATGTCAAAACTTTAATCTCGGGGCCAGACCAGATACGGCCCGTCCTCGCCACGGGGGCCACCGGACGAGCCGGTGGGGTCCCCGCGGGGGTTGGGTCGCAGGCCTGGGCACCGGGAACCACTTGGGGCTGGGCACCGTCAGAGCCGGGACAGGGGGCGGAGTTCTCAAGCGATTTCAGAAGGTCTTTGTAGTCCTTCCTACGTCGCCTGCAGCTAACCTGGTCACTGCTACGTGCTAAGCAGGACCCGATGTACGTGTTGATGTTGTGCACGTTTAGGGACAACGCCTCGCGCTCTAGCGCAGCCATACGTCTGAGATCGTCAGGCGTCCATCGGACGTAGGTGCGGGCGTTCGAGCGATATGAGGCGTCGCGCCGTCTTTTTAGCTCATTCCACTGGTTAGGATGTGCTTGAAACATGTGGGAGGAGAGTCCGGCTGATCGCTCGAATACACGAGAGCACACAGCGCAACTCCAACGGGGGGGGTCATCATTCCGGTCTACAGGGACAGAGTTTTTGGTTACCGCCAGTCGAGGCGGGGGCGTGTCGAGGCCAGTTTTTCGAGAACAACCAATAATATACGATCAGAGGGGGATGGTGACCCCACAAAGACCGGCGCATTTTGGAAGCGCGGACACCCCACATTTAATGTCTGCGGATGACGTCTGGACTCTTAGCCAGCCCGAGGGCTGTTACCAGCGGGACCCTATAGGAGGAGGCCCAGCACCATTTCCCCCTCAGGGACCATCAACCCCACCATTAGATGGCGAGGCATTTGGCTACCTTAAGAGAGTCATAGTTACTCCCGCCGTTTACCCGCGCTTGGTTGAATTTCTTCACTTTGACATTCAGAGCACTGGGCAGAAATCACATCGTGTCTGTACGGGTCGACCGGCCACACGATGCTTTGTTTTAATTAGACAGTCGGATTCCCCCGGTCCGTACCAGTTCCGAGTTGACCGTTCGCTGCCGGACGAACGCCCCCACGCCGAGAGACGCTGAGCAACGGGCTTGACGGGAGCGCGAGCCGCCTGCGCGCGAACGCAGGTTGAGGCCTACACACGCCGTTTACCCGAAGAGGGGCTGGAAGCCGTGGCGCTCCACGAAGACCCGGGCGAGGAGCCGTTTTGCTCGCCGGCCGACGCGCCGGTAGCGACGGGGTGGCGCCGCGAGCGGAGACCCGTAGCGCATGCGACACGCGAAAGAGGACAGAGAAGGGAGCGGAAGACGACGAGCGTAAGCAGCGAAGAACGGGTACTCGGAGTTCGTGAACGACGCATCGCGCACAGACAGACGACCCGATATGAGTCACCGCCAGATGCACGAACGCGAGCGCCCGTCACACCGACCCGAAAAACGCCGAACACCGCCGACCGAGACCGCCTAGCCCGACCCTGCGAACCCCGACCACGACCGCGACGCCGAAGGACCACTACGACACTTTGAACCCGCGCCGCAAAGCGCGAACGGAGCGAACGCTACAGCCCCGTACCGGTTCCTCGCTTCACACGGGCACGGCCCGACCGACCCGGTCCTCGGAGCCAATCCTTCTTCCGAAGGTACGGATCCATTTTGCCGACTTCCCTTACCTACATTGATGCCATTGACGAGAGGCTGTACACCTTGGAGACCTGCTGCGGATGGTGGGTACGGACCGACTCGAGAGCTGCGAAAACCGGACCCGGATTTTCCAGGGCCGCCGAAAGCGCACCGGACGCCGCCCGAGCCGCGGCGCTCTACAGGTACCTTTTCCGTATCTCCGGACGAGCCGATTCCACGGACACGGTCCTTTACGAAGAAGAGAGAACTCTTCCCGGGGCTCTCGGCGACGTCTCCGGGCTCGCTTGCGTCACCGCGGTTTCGCCCGAGAAGCGACGAGACGCCACCGACATCGCTGCCAGCAGCGCCGCCACCCCCGGGCACTCTCCGAGTCCGGGTTCGGGAATATTAACCCGATTCCCTTTCGACGGAAGACCGGCCGTTCGTCATTCGCGGCGTTTTGTTTGAGGACAACAAAAGAGACTTACGGATCCGGCGCCTTTCGGGAAGACTTTCGCCTGCGTCTTAGGACCGACTGACCCGTGCTCGACCGCCGTTGGCACGGAACCCTTCTCCACTTCGGTCTTCGAAGGTCTCGTTCGAATATTTGCTACTACCACCGAGATCTGCACCCGCGGTCGGCTCCACCCGGGCTCGCGCCCTAGGCTTCCGTGCTCACCGCGGCGCCCTCCTACTCGTCGCGGCATCGGTCAGGCGCGCGCATCGTTTTCGTCAGCGCAAAGCGCTCCCTCGCCGCGACGGTCCGGCATCGGTCCGTCGCCCAGCGCCATCCATTTTCGGGGCTAGTTGATTCGGCAGGTGAGTTGTTACACACTCCTTAGCGGATTTCGACTTCCATGACCACCGTCCTGCTGTCTTAATCGACCAACACCCTTTCGGGGATCTCATGGGCGTCGCGTTAGGCACCTTAGCCGGACGTTTGGTTCATCCCACAGCGCCAGTTCTGCTTACCAAAAGTGGCCCACTGGGCACTCGCATTCGTTTCTGCCGCCGTCGAGACGACGAAGGCGGCAGAGAAGTGGGACGGCTCCGTATTCGGGAGAGTCGACCCGTTCCACCCGTTCCGAGTTCGAGAGTAGGTCGAGGCAGTAAACGTCCCCGGGGCCTCCAGTCGTTCGTTTACCGGATGGAATTGCGAAGATCGAACGCCAGCTATCCTGAGGGAAACTTCGGAGGGAACCAGCTACTAGACGGCTCGATTGGTCTTTCGCCCCTACACCCGGTTCCGACGATCGATTTGCACGTCAGAGGCGCTTCGGACTTCCACCAGAGTTTCCTCTGGCTTCATCCCGACCGGGCGTGGATCGCCATCTTTCGGGTCCCTGGCCGCTCGCTACGCCAGAGTCGGCCGAGTCGTACTCGGAGAAAAAATTATGCAATCCTCACTTTCTAGCTTGTATCACTTTAAAAAGTACCTGACTCCTTATACCCGGCTCTATCTTTACAAGAGTCAGATCAGACCAAAAATTGTGTATTGCTACCATACCTGCGCTGGAGCTGCCCAATCCTCACTTTCTAGCTTGTATCACTTTAAAAAGTACCTGACTCCTTATGCCCTGCTCTATCTTTACAAGAGTCAGATCAGACCAAAAATGGTGTATTGCTGCCATATCCGGGCTGGAGCTGCCCAATCCTCACTTTCTAGCTTGTATCACTTTAAAAAGTACCTGACTCCTTATACCCTGCTCTATCTTTACAAGCGTCAGATCAGACCAAAAATGGTGTATTGCTGCCATATCTGGGCTGGAGCTGCCCAATCCTCACTTTCTAGCTTGTATCACTTTAAAAGTACCTGACTCCTTATACCCTGCTCTACCTTTACAAGAGTCAGATCAGACCAAAATTGTGTATTGCTGCCATATCTGGGCTGGAGCTGCCCAATCCTCACTTTCTAGCTTGTATAACTTTAAAAAAGTACCTGACCCTTATACCCTGCTCTATCTTTACAAGAGTCAGATCAGACCAAAAAAATTGTGTATTGCTGCCATACCTGCGCTGGAGCTGCCCAATCCTCACTTTCTAGCTTGTATCACTTAAAAAGTACCTGACTCCTTATACCCTGCTCTATCTTTATAAGAGTCAGATCTGACCAAAAATTGTGTATTGCTGCCATATCTGGGCTGGAGCTGCCCAATCCTCACTTTCTAGCTTGTATCACTTTAAAAAGTACCTGACTCCTTATACCCTGCTCTATCTTTACAAGAGTCAGATCAGACCAAAAATTGTGTATTGCTGCCATATCTGGGCTGGAGCTGCCCAATCCTCACTTTCTAGCTTGTATCTCTTTAAAAAGTACCTGACTCCATATACCCGGCTCTATCTTTACAAGAGTCAGATCAGACCAAAAATTGTGTATTGCTACCATACCTGCGCTGGAGCTGCCCAATCCTCACTTTCTAGCTTGTATCACTTTAAAAAGTACCTGACTCCTTATGCCCTGCTCTATCTTTACAAGAGTCAGATCAGACCAAAAATGGTGTATTGCTGCCATATCCGGGCTGGAGCTGCCCAATCCTCACTTTCTAGCTTGTATCACTTTAAAAGTACCTGACTCCTTATACCCTGCTCTATCTTTACAAGCGTCAGATCAGACCAAAAATGGTGTATTGCTGCCATATCTGGGCTGGAGCTGCCCAATCCTCACTTTCTAGCTTGTATCACTTTAAAAAGTACCTGACTCCTTATACACTGCTCTATCTTTACAAGAGTCAGATCAGACCAAAATTGTGTATTGCTGCCATATCTGGGCTGGAGCTGCCCAATCCTCACTTTTTCTAGCTTGTATCACTTTAAAAAGTACCTGACTCCTTATACCCTGCTCTATCTTTACAAGAGTCAGATCAGACCTAAAATGGTGTATTGCTGCCATATCTGGGCTGAGCTGCCCAATCCTCACTTTCTAGCTTGTATCACTTTAAAAGTACCTGACTCCTTATAACCTGCTCTATCTTTACAAGAGTCAGATCAGACCAAAAATGGTGTATTGCTGCCATATCTGGGCTGGAGCTGCGCAATCCTCACTTTCTAGCTTGTATCACTTTAAAAAGTACCTGACTCCTTATACCCTGCTCTATCTTTACAAGAGTCAGATCAGACCAAAAATTGTGTATTGCTGACATATCTGGGCTGGAGCTGCCCAATCCTCACTTTCTAGCTTGTATCACTTTAAAAAGTACCTGACTCCTTATACCTTGCTCTATCTTTACAAGAGTCAGATCAGACCCAAAATGGTGTATTGCTGCCATATCTGGGCTAGAGCTGCCCAATCCTCACTTTCTAGCTTGTATCACTTTCAAAAGTGCCTGTTTCCTTATACCTGCTCTATCTTTACAAGAGTCAGATCAGACAAAAAAATTGTGTATTGCTGCCATACCTGCGCTGGAGCTGCCCAATCCTCACTTTCTAGATTGTATCACTTTAAAAAGTACCTGACTTCTTATACCCTGCTCTATCTTTACAAGAGTCAGATCAGACCAAAAATTGTGTATTTCTGTCATACCTGCGCTGGAGCTGCCCAATCCACACTTTCTAGCTTGTATCACTTTAAAAAGTACCTGACTCCTTATAACCTGCTCTATCTTTACAAGAGTCAGATCATACCAAAAATGGTGTATTGCTGCCATATCTGGGCTGGAGCTACCCAATCCTCACTTTCTAGCTTGTATCACTTTAAAAAGTACCTGACTCCTTATACCCTGCTCTATCTTTACAAGAGTCAGATCAGACCAAAAATGGTGTATTGCTGCCATATCTGGGCTGGAGCTGCCCAATCCTCACTTTCTAGCTTGTATCACTTTAAAAGTACCTGACTCCTTATAACCTGCTCTATCTTTTACAAGAGTCAGATCAGACCAAAAATGGTGTATTGCTGCCATATCTGGGCTGGAGCTGCCCTAATCCTCACTTTCTAGCTTGTATCACTTTAAAAAGTACCTGACTCCTTATACCCTGCTCTATCTTTACAAGAGTCAGATCAGACCAAAAATTGTGTATTGCTGACATATCTGGGCTGGAGCTGCCCAATCCTCACTTTCTAGCTTGTATCACTTTAAAAAGTACCTGACTCCTTATACCTTGCTCTATCTTTACAAGAGTCAGATCAGACCAAAAATGGTGTATTGCTGCCATATCTGGGCTAGAGCTGCCCAATCCTCACTTTCTAGCTTGTATCACTTTCAAAAGTGCCTGACTCCTTATACCCTGCTCTATCTTTACAAGAGTCAGATCAGACCAAAAATTGTGTATTGCTGCCATACCTGCGCTGGAGCTGCCCAATCCTCACTTTCTAGATTGTATCACTTTAAAAAGTACCTGACTCCTTATACCCTGCTCTATCTTTACAAGAGTCAGATCAGACCAAAAATTGTGCATCGCTGCCATACCTGCGCTGGAGCTGCCCAATCCACACTTTCTAGCTTGTATCACTTTAAAAAGTACCTGACTCCTTATACCCTGCTCTATCTTTACAAGAGTCAGATCAGACCAAAAATGGTGTATTGCTGCCATATCTGGGCTGGAGCTGCCCAATCCTCACTTTCTAGCTTGTATCACTTTGAAAAAGTACCTGACTCCTTATACCCCTGCTCTATCTTTTAAAAGAGTCAGATCAGACCAAAAATGGTGTATTGCTGCCATATCTGGGCTTTTGCCCAATCCTCACTTTCTAGCTTGTATCACTTTAAAAAGTACCTGACTCCTTATACCCTGCTCTATCTTTACAAGAGTCAGATCAGACCAAAAATTGTGTATTTGCCATATCTGGGCTGGAGCTGCCCAATCCTCACTTTCTAGCTTGTATCACTTTTAAAAGTACCTGACCTTATACCCTGCTCTATCTTTACAAGAGTCAGATCAGACCAAAAATTGTGTATTGCTGCCATATCTGGGCTGGAGCTGCCCAATCCTCACTTTCTAGCTTGTATCACTTTAAAAAGTACCTGACTCCTTATACCCTGCTCTATCTTTACAAGAGTCAGATCAGACCAAAAATGGTGTATTGCTGCCATATCTGGGCTGGAGCTGCCCAATCCTCACTTTCTAGCTTGTATCACTTTAAAAAGTACCTGACTCCTTATTCCTTGCTCTATCTTTACAAGAGTCAGATCAGACCAAAAATTGTGTATTGCTGCCATATCTGGTCTGGAGCTGCCCAATCCTCACTTTCTAGCTTGTATCACTTTAAAAAGTACCTGACTCCTTATACCCTGCCCTATCTTTACAAGCATCAGATCAGACCAAAAATTGTGTATTGCTGCCATACCTGCACTGGAGCTGCCCAATCCTCACTTTCTAGCTTGTATCACTTTAAAAAGTACCTGACTCCTTATACCCTGCTCTATCTTTACAAGAGTCAGATCAGACCAAAAATTTTGTATTGCTGCCATACCTGCGCTGGAGCTGCCCAATCCTCACTTTCTAGCTTGTATCAATTAAAAAGTACCTGACTCCTTATACCCTGCTCTATCTTTACAAGAGTCAGATCAGACCAAAAATTGTGTATTGCTGCCATATCTAGGCTGGAGCTGCCCAATCCTCACTTTCTAGCTTGTATCACTTTAAAAAGTACCTGACTCCTTATACCTTGCTCTATCTTTACAAGAGTCAGATCAGACCAAAAATTGTATATTGCTGCCATACCTATGCTGGAGCTGCCCAATCCTCACTTTCTAGCTTGTATCACTTTAAAAAGTACCTGACACCTTATGCCCTGCTCTATCTTTACAAGAGTCAGATCAGACCAAAAATGGTGTATTGCTGCCATATCTGGGCTGGAGCTGCCCAATCCTCACT